GCCGCGGACGCCGCTGTCGAAGACAACAGATTTTTTTTGATATATACATATATAATATATATACACGTCGAAGACAAAATATGTACATGCCGCAGGGAATGGGCAACCGAACCGCGCGCAAGATGTGGCCACGGCGGGGGGCAACTCTGCGCCTGCGCTCCCACCGGAGCTCCCAGCACGCACCGCTCCGCGCGAGAGGCCCACGGAGGAGCCGCGGGCCTCAGGCCACGGGCCACCGAGCGGACTGCTTGCGAGTGCCATGGAAGAGCCATGCGGTGACCAGCTGCGTTCGGAATGTGCATGCAGTGGGCGCAGTAAGAGGAGGAGGAGGAGGAGGAGGAGGAGGAGGAGGAGGAGGAGGAAGCAGACGAAAAGAAACCTCACTCTTCCTGTCCGACTGGCACATTGGCGCCTGAAGCCTTCTCCACCGCCTTGGCGCCTCTCCCCTTCGGCTGCAAGCTCGTTCCGCACTGGCTGTTCCTCCATTTGTCCTGGCGCCCTCTGCACCGCTGACCAAGCACCTACGTTCCCAATCCAACTCCTTGCCGCAGACCTACAGACCTCCATCCCTGATCCTGTCATGTCCAGTGGCCTCCGTTACTTGATCCATGACACTTGTTCTCCGCCCCATGCCAGAGCGCGCAAAAATGACCGCGCTGCCGTCGACGTTGCGCCCGCCGACGATGCCTCGGAGCCTTAGAGACCCCACCGGACCCCGATCCTGGTCAAACGGACTAGTCCACTACGCAGCGGGGAACACTCTGATGATCGAATGCTTGACCTACCGCACCCATCCTGATCCGCTGTCCTCCATGAACAGCAATCGAATCCCAATCGACGGCTGTCAAGATCGCCTCCTGGACACTCCGCAAACTCGCAGGAGGTCCAGTCGAGACAACGGCGGCCCCCGGAATCAGGTTCCACCTTCCGCGCCTCCGGCACGCAGGGACGTGTGTTGGATTCCTGTTGGCTGCCCGGGAAGAGTTTTGAATTCTTCTCGGGTGCCCCCCCCCTCGTCGCAGAGGTCCCACAGGTACAATGAAAACGTATAGTAAGGACGCGTGGCAAGGACGCAAGACCCTTGGAGGCCGAAGTTGAAGTATTCTGAGCGGCAGGCGGCCAAACCCCCAGGGAACCTGAGAAACTGGCCTGCGAAAATTGCTAGGGACGGACCGCAGAGGCTGAGGCAGGCAAGGACCCACGGGCACCCTTGAAAAAGTCGTTTGTCCTTACTATGCGCGTTGACTGTAGTCCCCTTCTCACAAGCGGGCCAAGACCGCTGAACGGGACCTCCAGGATGGCCTCGATGGCCCACCGGCAGGCTCACATGCCCACAAACGCTGCAAGACGCCCCAGAGGATCCAAGCTGTCCCCAAGAGGCCTCGAGAACCCCCACGCGCCCCCCAAGGATGCCTCCCGCGAGGCCCAGGGAAGTGAAGCCCAATGACAGACTTTAGCGTGTTGTGTGTGTGTGTTGCTTGTTGTCTAGCTCCGAGGCTTTTCACCTGAAGATGGGATCCGCAATGCCTTTTTGAGCTCCTGTCCCAGAGTATCCCCCAAATCCCCCAGGATGGGCCAAGAAACCCGCAAGACAACCCACGACCGCTCCAACACGCTTCAAGACGGTTCCAGGACCCGAACGAACTGCCCCAAGTTGGTTCCACCGAGCTGCTGCGAGAGAGCTCCGCCGAATCATGTCGCCAAGGACGGCCCCCAGCTGCCCCAAGGACACCCAAGAGGCCCCCGAAATAAAATTTCAGAAGGGTCCGAGAGGCCTCCAAAGAGGCCCCAAGAAGGCTCCAGGACGCCTTACAAGACGAGGCGGGATGGAGGCAGAGTAGGCGTATGAGAAGGATGAAGAGGATGAACGCAGAGGAGCGCGAGGCTGAGGCCAACGATGGGAATGCTTTAGGCTTTCGCCAGTTCCGAACCGGCGCTGAACTCGAGCGGGTCTCAATATTTCACATTCCTCCTCCTCCTCCTCCTCCTCCTCCTCCTCCTCCTCCTCCTCCTCCCCCTCCTATGCCTCCTACCTGCAGCGCTGCTGTCTGGTGCGTGCGTTTCTGTTCCAACGCAGCAAAGAAACACACACAAACATAAGAAATGGGTTTGGGCTGTCTCCACCGCCCCCGGAACGCTCCCCGCGAAGCGCAAGCGGTAAAGCACCACACAGGACTGCCTATGACGTGTGCAACTAGGCGACACAACTTCGCGCTTCGCGCACCCGCGACGCATGGCGCGCGCTCACCCTCGTGCCATTGCTCGGACCCCCTGGAGAAGGGCACCTTTTGCGGCCCAGGCCGCGAGGCGCGCAACTAATCTGATTACCTTCGCGCCCTTGTGGGTGGCTTGTGTAAGATAGACTCCGGAGAGGGGGGGGATGGTGTGGGGAGAAGGAAGACTCGAGTTGGGGGGACTTGAGCTGACCTGGCGGGTCCGTCGAACAAGCGACAGGACTAGTCTGACATGTATGCGAGCTCCCGATACAGACATCTCACGA